GGCACCCAATCCTGTAGCCGAGAAGTACAGGCGACGACATGAAGGCAGGATATTCTCCTCGAGTTGGTCGATGTAACCGTCAGCGCTCACTTTCAGTCCGGGGTCCACGAAGAAAATATCGGTCTTCCATTCCAGGAACTTCCGGTCCATACCATCAACTGCGGTGAAGATGATAAACCTAGATCATAGCGACGTTAACAGAGCCGCTTGAAGTTGGAGGACTTCCAGAGAGTGTTGGTCCCCAGGTAGCTGTCCATAGGCGGCTCCATACAAGGAAATATTTCGCAACTGTTTGGAGGTGACGTGAATTCCCGCTGGCCTTTTTTAGTTCGGCTGCGATTGGAGATGACTTCATATTTTGGTGTACATGAAGGTGATGGACGAGAGCCTGCTCCTGCTTATCGAGGAACATCTTGGGTATCTTCCGCCCTGGTACTCGTATCCACGTCTTCTATCTGGGCTGCGTGAAACTTTAATGATATGTGACTCGGCCAAAGTTTTATTGGGCCCCCTGTTCTTACGACGATATCAACGACAGGAAGAGTACGCTCTGGGTAGCACTACTTCCATAAATGTAGAGACTGGGAAGGTTATTCAGGAGGAGGCAAGGCTTTAGAAACGTACAAGACTCGTACGTGCAACAGAGTAGAGCAATAAATATGAAATGAAGAAAATAAAAACCATTACTCACCTGAGATGCAATACCCTCAACAGATAAAGAAATCAGTCCTTTTCGAGGTTTGTAGACGAGAAGAAAGCTCTGGTAACCGGGTGCGATTGTGAGGTTTCTGGCACTAACCGAGAGCTTCGCATGCAACAAACAAATGGCGCGCGAATACTTACCAAAACGTTTAAATCTATTGTTCGTAATAAAGGCCTCCCAATCAGTCGCCGTTATCGTTGATTAACTTGACACCGCAATGTTTCCATTTATCGCGTTTTCTGCTGCTGCCACAGATAGCGAACCAGGCCAGACTCTCCACTTTTTCCATTGTATTTTCTCTAGAAGCGCTGTTCAGGTGGGTTGGTCTAAGAGAGAGCGTCGCTGCGCTCTATCGTGCCATAAGACCTGTCGGAGGAACTGCCATGGCACCTCAACCTCACATACTCTCCAAGGATACGCCTGATATTGAGGTAGGTCAACTCGTATTCTCGTCCCCGTCTTTTGAGAAGGGTGCTTCGGCCGCGGTGCCTTCTGGTTACGCTTGTTGACCAAAGATCACCACATGTACAGTCACGCCATGTGGTGACACTTTTGCTCTTCGTCAATCAGTCACATTATGGACTATTTGTTATCTTATTGCAATTACACATTATTAAACCTCCATTGCTTCAGCACTATTTGATATTCTACTTCATATTCTTATCCATGCTCCGCAATAATAGGTAAAAGTAATGTTCGGGAAATAACACAACCTTTCATCTCAATGCCTTATCATTTTCTCGCCTTGTTTGGCTTCGCAATCTTAGGTCTCTAAACAATCAGATTGACCGATTTTTGAGAAGCAGGTGACCGATAAAGCTTCTATTTGTCGGAAGTTTTGCCAAATTGGGCTCTTTGGTCCTCATGATGATGCGTGGTGATCCACTAACAGGAGCCGGGCCCCTCTCGAAGACAAATGGCACAGTTACCTCCGCTGTGGCGAGAATGGGTCGACAGAGTAATAGTGTGCCACTTTCCGATCAAAAGTGCCTGTGAACGGGTTTGGAGGATTGTGAAACCCTGCGGTCTCCTGAATCCATCCGTTTTAACTACACGCTTAACCATAACCAGACGCTCTTCTTGTCTGCGCCCTCTCACTTTTGTTGTTCTTACCGCTTAGTGCGTGTCTCGCTGGAGGACCTTGGTATCGACGCAAAGGCTGCACCTTGAGACTAGCGCGGGCGTACACCTGACAGCATGCGGAAATGGGGCTGAAGGGTACTGGATAGTTCGCGTCTCCACGCCGCAGTTATAAAGCTGCACTACGTGTGTCGAACGAAAGTCTCTCGGCAAATACAAGAGTCAAAGTAGAGGACAACCAAAGGTAAGGAGGTGGGGGGGGGGGCGGCAGGCAAGTAGCGCATACGGCTATGGTTAAGCGTGTGGCTGGCCGCGCGGCATATTACCCGTCTGCGTGTTTCGCCTGCGACTGGATAGGAACGGTGCTAGGTATAACTATATTATGTCCTCACTTTTACTGTCTAAGGAGGAAAGGCAACACTCAACTTACAGTAGGCTCTACTATTATCAGAATAGGTGATCGGTACTTCAGGATTATCTACAAAACACAAGTTTTGGTCAAATTCAAGCCATTTGGTCAAAGGTATCCCTTTTATATTTCTGACCCTATGCCCCAACGTTATGATACTACTCTGCAAAAAAATAACTTAGTGCCTACCGGCACCATTTGGGTTTTTATTGGGCCTTCAAGAAAATCTATTTCAGCACAACTGACTTCCTTCTTGGGTAGACTAAATTCCCGCTGAAGTTTCCATCCAGAGAAGATTTGCCTAAAAATTTCTCCCCCGCGTAGTTTGATACAGTGACCGTTTTCAGAGAGCCGAGCTATACCCAATTTGCTGGCAATATTTCAGCAAATTTAATGACCCGAGATCCGCTGTCCGGCTTCTGTCGCAGGCGTCAGAAGTATTCACACCGAGGGGAAGTTTTGGGGGTTCAGACAACCTCTGGGTCATACTTCTAGCAGAGTCTCCTCAGGGGGAATAACAGAATTTGTGCTCAAAGTGGCTCCAGTCAGCAATGGAGATCCAGGGTGAATACAGCCATAAAATTTTTGCCTGTTCCACTAGTTGTTGTTGCTTCTACTTTTTCGGATCTTTTTTTTCTCTCTTTTTACTTTCAATTCCTTCCTCGTCTTCTTACTTGTGGCAATACTCTGGTAACGATTGTAGAAGGTGAGGATAGTTTTCAATTAGTGTTATGGAAAGAAGTGTCACCGGAAAAGGCGCAAGAGCGCAGTGTCATGTGTAAGATATCGATAGTAGCAACAGTTTAAAGATCAGACAGTGGCGGCGAATAAATTTACGACCGATACAATTTACGACCCTTGGACCCAATAACCAAATAACAACGTTATGAAAAGAAAAAAATCTGAGAAGCAAAAAAATAATCACTCCTCTTTGTTTCTGGGCTCCCAAGGAAAAACTATGTTATTGAGTTTCACGAGGAAGTTTCTCAGTTTCAATGCATTTCCTTTTCGTTTTTGCGGGGTAAGTGCACAAGTTGTGAAAACGGTACACTGGCGGAGAAACGAGTCGTTCCATGAGTTGTCAAGTACTTTTTGGTATAACTTGTAGTGCTCTCTTGAACAGTATGCAGTCCATTACTCAAAGATAGGGGAGGCGTTTCCAAGACAAAAGTTTTAAGCGTAGCAGCGCTAGACAACTGGCGTTTTAGTCAAAAAGCATGATAGGCACAAACGGAACGGACGGCGGCACAGTAGGAGATCAGTCCACCCTCTCAAACCTCCCTGCCTAGACCGGAAACGGACCATGCAGTAGTTCCACATTCACAGCTTACTTCGTGGACCCGCCCTCTCCTTTTCCGGGATCTAGAATCAGACCACGCGTGTGTTGGGAAATACGCAGCGAGGGTCGTACACTCAAAATCCCTGGGATGCGGTTGGCGTGGCTGCGTACTTGGATTGAACATGGCGGCGGCTGAGGTTTACGGGAGATATTTCCATTTTGTTACAGTGGAAATCATGTCTTTGTCTGGCACAAAACAAGATGACTGCTGTCTCAAATCGAAATATGCCACGAGTAACGCGTTCCATGACAATTTCAAATGCCACGCCTACCTCGTCTCAGGGATAAGGCGTGTACTTGGTTGCAGGGGTAGGGGGGTCGTATCTGGTAGCTGGGGGTCGTATATGGTCGCAGGAAATTATTTTTATTAGTTCTTTTCCATGTATCACGGGCTTTATCTACGTCTTTTTGGTGAATCACTAAGGGGGGGGGGTGTATTTGCTCGTCGATTTGCTTTGCGGGGTGTTGGAAAGAATTTTTTTCCGGTTGTTGTTTGTTGTTGTTTCTCGTTTCACATGTGCTATACACTCCTCCCCCGCTCGGTGGCACAATTTCAGGGAAAGAAGTGGGAAACTCTCGGAAAATATCCGGAAAATGGGTGGAAAAAGTTGGTAAGTTAAGCAAGATGGGGAAGGGAGGGGTCATTAGAGGACGAAACTTGAGGGGGGGGGTCGTTTTTTCTTCGAAAATTCTTTCCAGTGGCTGGAAGCGCCCTGTCTGGAGTGCGTCTCACCTTTGACAACTCAAGGATTAGTTGCTGCATTCTTATCATGGATTCGTCTCTTTGCTTACTGGTTCTATTCAAGGGAACTCTCTTCCCAATTATGTTTCTAAACTTTGCTCATAAAAACTGCTATACCAGTAAACAAACACAGAGAACAACGCATACTTAGATACATATCTGTAAGCATTTGTATAAATAGCAGTGGGCTAAAGTCTAAGATGGCCGATTAGCGTCCTTACTTTATCAGTACTGTACTTTTTTTCCTCCTTTTTTTAGTTCCTTAACCGCTCTTTGTTTCTTTGCTATCCTCTTCAAAAAGTTGTTTGTTAGTTATACTATTGTACATAAAGAAGGTGTGTCGGTGATATTAGCCTAATCGATACATCTTACATTTACAGCTAAGTATTTACTAACTAAAATTGTTTTCATGACATGAATGCACTGATAACAATGCAAGGTTACATTTAGACGGCTTATACAGGCCTATCATTTCAGGCATTACTTTCGCTTAATCCCAAAGTCAACAAGTTAGCCAAAGCAGTACCGAGTTATGAGACGAAAAAGAATAAGCACAATTGGAAGAGGAATGCTGAAAAAGGCTGCGATGTAGGTTTCTTTTCCTTTCGCAAATTATTCGTGACAAAGTGGTCACGGCTATGTTAATAAGGTCAATCGATATACGCTACGCTTTCGGTATACGCCATGCGTTAGAAGTTCTCGATAATCGCAGTGGGAATTGAATGGGTGTCTGGTTCGTGTAATGAGACAAACACCCATTCAGACCCATTTGCAGTTATCAGGAGCGTCCAATATGAGGAGCAGGTGGTGTATCAGCCCATTCTTCATCTTCCCAGACGACTACGGTATCGATTCGCCAACGCCAAGGATTGAACGGTTCTATTATCCTGGACGGGGGCCGGTCCGGGATTCGGAAACTGGACCATCTCCAGCTCTGGCTAGATGGGATCGACCCCTACCGACCTCCTCTCCACCAAATCTTACGGGCTTGAAGCTCTGAGGTTACAGCGCCTGACAGAGGGTGTAGGTTTAACTAGTCAGATTCCCTTAGTACCATGGGGAACCGCACCAGTATCAGGGCCATGAGGGCATTAGGGCCTCAGCAATCTACGTAGGTTTGCAGGATTTCATTCTAGAGTCTAGCGCTACCTTCTTCCCATTTCTGAATGGCTGGTGTCGATAATTCCCACATACAGTAACCACTGTTGACAGCTTTACACCTCATCTAGTTTAGGCATGCGATCCTGATCTCCGCAATGACTTCAGAGATATTAAACACACTACCTTGAGTGAGCGTGCTGCTCTTCGGGAAGCTTTGCGGTAAGTTTTTTTCCTATTTGTGTTGACTGTGTTGTGACTGTGCTCGTGTGGTGAACGTCGTATGATAGTTCAAGGACAAGCCGCAGAGCAACCTTAAAATATTAAAACTCGAGAACAAGCAGAACTCTCTTTTGGTGTACTACTTAAAGGCAGCACCCGTGTTCATTTGATGTTCCTATGCCCTCCCAGGGTACAGCATCGTTGTGTCAAACCCATGGGGGGTCGTACTTTTGCTCTGGGGAGGGGGGGGGGTCGTATTTGTAAGACAAATTTATTTTGATAGTTGATTTTTTCTTGTGGAAAAGGGGGTCGTATTAATTTTTTGTTTTATATGCACTATATACGTTGCATAGTTATTGTATACCCCCCCCCCGCTCGACAACTTTTTCGCCGACTATATACTCATTGCTCGTCGTCGGCGAAAAAGCCGTGGAGGTGGAGGGGGGGGGGGGTCGTGCCTGGACCCCATTCGAAGGGGGGGGGTCGTACTCACACCTCCGACATTTCGCACATCCCCATGCTGTACCCTGTGCCCTCCTCAGATATCGTAGCTTCCACAAGGGTGGAGGATGTACTAATTCCGCAGCTCCAAAACAAGAGAGGATGGCGCTACCCACTTGTGGAGAGGGTGCTGCCGCCGCCGCCACCTGGCTGCCATAACTGCTTTGGCTTAGCCTTTAAGGCTGAGCCCGCTTTCAAGAATAATGAGTTATGGAGCTCATATAATACGTGATCCAGTAGTGAAGAAAAAAAGCAGAAAAAAATCATGGAAATGCTCCACATAGAATTCTTTGCTGGCCAAGTGGGCGGGGCGGCCGACTCTTCACCAGCAACGGCGCTATCCTCTCGCCTTTTGAGATGCAAAACTAGTACATACTGCATCCTCATAGGGAGGGCTATGATATCCAGAGAGGGCGCGGGAACATCAAATGAACGTGGGCGCTGCCTTTAACTACGAATACCTCCAGTCAAATCTGAACTAAAATTTTTTTTTCCGTAGATCTGCCTGTTAGGGTCACTCAATGCTGGCGCAATATAGCAGAAATATTGCTCAATTTGGCGACAGCACCTTTTTCACCAACGCTGCCCTGAAGACCAAACGCTGGCTTTTGTGTGATCAAGACTTTAAGTTAACCCCAAATGCAAGCTTGTAACGGATTCGATGGTAAAGTCCACTATTAGGATGCTAAATAACCTTTGTATGCAAATTCACATCGATTTTGGTGATGATTATGAAGGAGCGAAACTGCCCCATTCGCGCCAAATGGAGCCAAAGTGCATCAAGAATGAGTGCTATAATCGTAATTAGGGTGCCAAATAAACATCAGCAGTATGCAAGAGTGTGAGTGATTTTGGTGTAAGAGGTAGGGTACCAAATTGATACTTGTTAATGCCAAATGGCGCATGATGACAGAACGGATGTTATTTTGTGAAGCTCTTTCGAAAAGTTAAATTTTGGGTTGTAATTGCTGTGTTGATGTCCTTTTCTTGTTGTTTATTGTTTCCTGGTTTGTACTAAGTGTTTTTTGTTCCTCACTCATACTGTATGGCCGGATTGAATGAATGTTTGACCCACGGGGTATGTGACAAGAGAACCGTAATTCACCGCGCTGGTGGGCGTCGCGTGCGACGTCGCACCGCAAATGACGATGGTTCCAGGTAGTAGATGGCGACAACAGGCAATTCAGAACCGAAAATAGTCATGAATGTCTACGATGACGGGTCTACATGAAGTCCGGTGCTCCAGTCGACAGGTTAACACGAGTTAAGAAAACGCCGCGCCATCGCCGCGCGCGGCGGAGCGGCAAATTACGATTCTCTTGCCCGTCTCCCTTACGTAATGGCTGAGGGGGCTCTTCTCAGCAATATTCACCCCACCTCCACCGAATGGTGATTTTTTTCGGAAGAATAGAACTCTGGTTCGACTCGGTCGGGAACTGGTTCTCGAATGATGCTTTCGAAGCGGCACCTGCTAGCGATACATCATAACCGTTCTCTTTCACTTTTTCAATGCAGAATTTCTGATTCTGGGCTCACTCAATACTCGAATGAAATTTGATTCTTGTGAATGAATAGACAAATATTACTTAATGCTCCGAATCTCTGATGAAAATACTTCATAATGAAATTGCTAAATTTAGTTGCCTGAAATGCGCTGATGCACCATGTCAGAAAGGCTGTCCTACACAGCTGGACGTCAAAGCATTCATAACTAGTATATCAAATAAGGTACGCAAATTACTCCAGTAAGTGATTACTGTAGGAGTTAGCGCTTTTTTATGAATGCTTATCAAAAAATAGTGTAGAGCATAATCATGTCTTTATTGTTTTTCATATCCGAACTTAAGTGTAAGTTGTGAGGTTTTTAGAACTACTATGGATCTGCTCGTCAAATCCTCAGTGATAACCCTCTCGGGTTGACATGTGGAATGATCTGCCCGACTTCGGACCTTTGTGTCGGCGGATGTAATCTACAGGCTAGCGAAGAAGGAGCTATCAACATTGGAGGTCTTCAACAGTTCGCTTGTGAGGTAACCTAACTTACAGTTATTCAAACGTCTTAAATGCAACTTTTCACGATATCAGTGTGGCTTTCTCTTACTTGAACTTCTCCATTACGACCTTCTAACACCCCAGCTGGCTATATTCGCAATTCAAGCCACCCCCTGGGAAGGTCACAAGCGTTGATTCTATGCGTTCTCGCGTAAGCGCCGATGTGCTTTTAGCAAAGCCAAGTGATGATCATGTCCAAACGGGGGATCAGACTACTCAAGGGGCGAAATTCAGGCCAATTATAGCCTAGGAAAAGGTTGTTAGATCAAAATCTCGCTTATATTTAGTAGAGTAGGGTAGCGAAAGGCAAATAAAGCCAGAGCTTTTTGTAAACTGGCAGGCCAAGGCTAACCAAAAAGGCAACTGATTTCAATTACACTCATTATCCCTGAGACGGAGTAGGCGTTTCATTTGCACATGGCATAGGATGGGTTACTCGTGGGATATTTCAACTTGAGACAACTGTCATCTTGTCCTATGCTGGACAAAGACACGACCACAACTGTGTGAAGTTGAAAATACCTTCCACCGCCGCGTTTACTTCAGGTGGCCGCACTTACCCCATCTCAGGGATTTTGAGTGTACAGGTGAATTTCAAAAAAATCATTTTTTTTGAAATCTTAAGAACTAATAGCGTAAAGCGAGGGCATGTTTGCTTTAACAAGTTTTTTTTCTTGTGAAGTAGTGGCAGTGCTTCTGTCGCTTGCAGGTCTTCAAGAAGATGAACATTCGCCAGATCGTTTCAAAGGAGATTCGAGAAAGCAGAAATAAGTCCCACTCATCGCCTATTGCTCTCATCGGTGAGTCGCACATTCGAGTCGCGAATATTCCATTCCAAAAGATATTTATGTACCTCGCGAGTACTGTACGCTTCAGGATGCGGTCCGGCATCAATTTCATGCGCCTCATTTCTTGCCAGACTTGGTTACACCGACGTTACAATATACGAGAAGCAAAAGTATATTGGAGGATTGAGGTATACCTCCACTCATTCTTTGTTTCGTTCAGGTTTAGTTAATACGCTGAAGTAAAGGGTCCACTGGGTGTGCGAAGCTTCCTTTCTTAGGAGATGAACGACAAAACTGCGTCTTAACCCATTCGTGACAATGTCCGCCACTGGTGGTGGACACCGAAATGTCCACTTCGGACCATGTCCACCATATGTGGCGGACGGGCTTTTGATGAAATTTTTAGAAACAGTTCGAGTTCTTCGAGGAACTTTTCCCAGTGGTACAAGTCTTCATACCTTTGTTAATTTATGCAAATAGTGGACCAACGAGATCTTCAGATATAAGGGTCCCAGGCACGATTCAACTAGCAGCACCTGAGCCCAAAACCTCTAGAAAAATTTCTGCTGAAAAATTGCCGGTAGGGTTACTCAGTGCCCCGATCACGAATGTGACGTCCGTTTCTGGCGCCGGCGGTGTTTGACGCCATTTGGCACCATTAGGCGCCAATTTGGCGCCACCACTTTTTTTCATCAAAACCGGGGCGCCAGAATGGTGCCGCGCCAACTCACCACTACCTTTTTTCCAAACTTCGGGGAAGTTACATACTAGGGCTTTTTGTGGTCTGGTCACGAATATGACGTTCACTACAGGTCCAGCGCCAACTGGCGCCAATTTGGTGCTATCACCTCTTCCACCCAAATTGATGGGAACTTGGATACTAGGGTTATTCTGTCCTTATTATTGATATGACATTCATTTTTAGCAGGAACGTTAGCGTAGGGCACAAGGGTTATCAATGCGATGCTGAGGCTGAGCTTGCCTTAGGAGGAGGGAATCACTCCTCCTCCAAGCTACAGCCTTTCAGAGCGCTACATGGCGCTCATGCCATGTAGCGCTCTGCAAAGATAAAAACCAATGTCTTATTTGTGATCGGGCTCCCTCCCTCCCCTTCCCCTCCCCCCCCCCCCCTCCCCAGCGAAAAAAGGCGACGGCGAGTGCAGGTGGATCCTAGCGCCGAATAGCGCCGGTGAAAAACTATAGGCACTGTCAACCCTTTACTGCCTCAGACATCCGGAACCAAGCCAACTTTCCAACTTTCTTTCTTTGTGGACAGACTTGGCTTAGCAGTCGTTTCCTGAGTTGGTTTGACCTTTTTAACACGAGTACACTTCCGCTCGGCTCAAAACCTCCTTGCCACCAGGAGGTTTTGAGCCACCTCAATATGTCAAATCACCTCAATATGCAAGCTTACACGGGTTTTCGAGGGAAAGACTATAGCACTAAATTAGCGCACATTGGCGCCAAATGGCACCGGAGGACAGACGAATGTCATTTTTGTGACCTGAGGAATAACCCCTGCACTCGATGGTTCAGTAAAAAAGGAGATTTCGGGAGCAGAAAGTTGAACAGTGCTAAAATTTTTGGTAAGGGGTCACGAGGGACCGTGTCCACCACTGGTGGCGGACACTTGCTGAGAGCTCGCAAATGCTCCGGTCCGAACGAGCCGTTTTCGAAAAACGCGCCTGGTCGCGAATGGGTTAATCTGACGCTCACTTTCATTGACTCTGTATTTTCCAGTTCCTCAGAAATACCGCAGTTCCGTCTACCATACTCAGTGGTCGATTTCGAAATCCAACTAGCACGAGATATTGGAGTAAAGATTGAGACCGGACGAGCACTTCACAAATCAGACCTTACTGTTGAAAAACTGAAGGTATGTGATGCAGTACACCGTTTATCCTTTCGAATGAAAACGATTTGTGATCATCCTAACATCGTCAGATAGTTTACGAATCACGCCATACTAGTTGACGTACTAGGAGATCCGTTGTGGCAACGCGGTGAAAATTGTGTTTGTAGTGCACGACATTTGCACCAGGACCTGTTTTCCTTGGCGAGATTGTGTTACAGATAGCTGAATCTAGGTGGTGAACGTCTCAGGGTTTTTTCTGCATGCGGCCGCAACTCGGACCTCCTAACCTGAATCCCTGGCGGGCCGGTCGAGCCGAGCGAAATCAGTGTTGTGCGATCATTGGGTACCAGGGTACCAGGTAAGAGTAGGTTCCCAGTTATCAGAACCGGTATGAGTGAGTAACTTACTAGATTGAATAGATAGCCATGTTAAGTCTCGAAGACCTTGCACTGGTAGTTGCTCCCACTGTTAGAACACGGGATGCCAACAGCGCCCCCTTCTGGACGGCAGTAACCGGCGTCATCTCACCCTGAGCCAACCATTACTCCCACGCAAGTGTTTATGCCAGATAATGACTATATGACTCAATAACCTCCATTCTGATGAACTCCCTTTAAAAACGTATTCTAGGCTTCCGGAGCGAAGGCGATCTTCATCGGTATCGGCATGCCTGAACCAAAGAAGATCGGCGTTTTCAAAGGGTTGGATCAAAGCCATGGATTCTTTACCAGCAAAGATTTCCTGCCAATGGTCGCAGCTGCCAGCAAACCGGGTATTTTTTGTACTGCAGATATTTGCAGATGCTTTAAATGATAATAAGGTAAAGGAGTTTCATGAGTTAACTTCATAGGTATGTGCGGATGCTCGAAAAATCCCCTCCCTGCTCTAAAAGGACGTGTCATTGTACTCGGTGCTGGTAAGTATTGAGATGACAAAGCTTAGAAGAGTGATTTGAATGAAACTAAATTTAACTGCGCTGCAGTAAATCCTTCTTAGATTGCCTACCCAGCTTGTTAACGATATTAATGAGCTCCTCCCAGGTGATACGGCGTTCGACTGTGCCACGTCCGCTCTACGATGCGGTGCTTCCAGGGTTACCGTTGTATTCCGTAAAGGATTCACTGGTATTCGTGCTGTGCCAGAGGAGGTGAATACACGCTTTCGGAGTTAATTTCTGGTCCAAAAGTCTAATCAAAAAACCTGATGATTACGTTTTCTGTTGGTCAGTACCATTGATCACAAAAAAATCAAAAGTACAGCCACGAAATCCAACAAACTACGTGAAACACTCCCTGCTCCTCTTCAGAGGAGAAATGGGCGATATAGTGGATTTCGAACTAGAAAAAGATCTAGAAGATCGTAAGAGATTACCCAGAAGGCCTAAGCAGATTATAAGTTCAGATGGAAGCAGCTCGAGAGGAACGATGTGAGTTCATGCCATATTGCTCTCCAAAAGCCGTGAACATCAAGGACGGTCGCATTGTTTCAATGCAGTTTGTTAAGACAGAGCAGGACTTGGATGGGAACTTGGTAGGTACTGCCCAATCATCTCTAGTTCGAATGAAATCGAATAATCTTGAAATCCTTCGCAGGTTCGAGGATGAAGAACAATCGCTCACACTTAAGGCCGACTACATCATCTCTGCTTTCGGCTCAACACTTCTTGATCCTGATGGTTCGTTACTCACGAGTACCCATTGGGAAAACGATATGAAATAAGTCCAAGTAACTAGTAACTTCCAAAATGACGAAAAGGCGTGAGCGGAGTTCATCATTTTGGTGAACTTTAACTGCCAAATAGAGTAGAAATCAAGTAATAGAATCAGAATAGGGTTCAGTTCCGTGATATATACTCGGATCTTCTATAGGGTACATTCGAGGTTTAGTAATATTCCAGTATGTACTAGTTGATGGATGACCTTGAATACTATCTGTATTAATAAAAAAGTCCGATTCGTGAGATTTGAGATTCAGCGGAAAGAACGCTCGCCCTCTGATTCGTTCCACTTACAGTAGCTAGCTTGAGTTGGAGGAGCTTGCGGCGTGTCAGGCAAAAGGGCTTGTTGAAGCGGGCAAGCGACAACGATAGGTGAGAAATGGACTAGCGCCAAACCCACCCACCCCCCCCCCCCCTCCCACCTCGACGCACACGCTGTGCGCTTACCTGGCCCATCAGCCATAGTTCGGCTGAAATTATAACTTTAACCAACAAAGGGTAACAATCTTTCTCTAGCCTAATTCTGATTAGATATTGAGTTCATCATTCCAGATACCAAGTCTCAATTTGCACGATTTCAGTGGTATCTGCCATGGCTCCTGTCAAAATGAACAAATGGGGAACACCCGAAGTGAACAAGGCCACGCAAGGAACCAATGTGCCATGGGTCTTTGTTGGTGGAGATGTCGGCGGTGTCGCCGAGACGACCGTTGAGTCTGTTAATGATGGAAAGGTAATCCACTTGTGAAAAACGCAGCCTAATACGGCTTCTATTCCACATTTCAAACTGGAAATCAGGCTTCCTCTTATTCTAACTTGCCACGAGTAGATCACGAGCAGATAGGACCGTCAGGAGTTCCCTGACTTAGACATGAAGACTCATTCAAAAAAGCGAGTTCAAACGTAAAGGGAGCTGGTCCAGCTGGTATAGCATCGGGATCGGAGAAAAAGCCGTGTCAGACCACCCGCGATGCTTTACCCAGCTTCTACAGGTCCAGTTAGTGCCTGGTCTTGCCC